TTGAGACTACAACAATATCTGTATGACAAAATAGGAATTTTAATTATAAAAAAATATTAGCGACAATAAAAATATAAAAAAAACAGTTGAAAAATAGTCGGCTATTTTGTTTAAGTAGCCGTCCGACTATTATTCGTGTCATATATGCAGATGAATTTTTTTCTTGTTAATACTTAAAAAATTATAGATCTATTAAAAAATTTATCTACATTAACATTAAATGTCGAAATAAAATTTATCAATTAAAACGTATAATATTTTAACGAAAATAACATTAAATGTGCGTATTTGTATTTACCGATATGAAGAGATTGATATAAAAAAAAAAAATTGCCTTCAACGTTCGATAAATTTCTTAGATTTTGAGGTGGAAGCAAATAAAAGATAAGAGTGTTTTTATATATATATTGGAATAAACATATAAGAAATGTTAGCTGATTTGAAGTTTTAAGTGAGAAGTGTTTGGTTTTCAATTGATTGTTAACTAAAATGGTAGTAATATCTTTTAAACAAAGCAATATTTTGTAATTGTCTAATATGCTTAAGGTTATCTTTGTTTTTTATTATTCAATAAGTCATTATGATAATATTCAATTGTTAAGAAGTCAAAGGGGAATTTTGATGGTTTGATTAGACCATTTTAAAAGTACCCCTATTAATATTAGGTTTGACCATGGGATATTTCGACTTTATTAGTACTCAACACGCTCTGAATCCTATTAGAATAAGTCTTGTTTGGGTCCTCACGAACATGGCCCAGTGATAAAGTAGGAGGGTTCTAGACGGAGTATCGGAAGTTCGAATCCCCACAGCAGTTGGAAGGCAACATTTTATGTTCGAAGACAGTTATCCTGTGAAAATAAAATTATGGTGTGTTTTGTCACTCCTCTGGGAGTCCTGTCCGCACGTCGTAAAGAGAGATCTACAGAGAGGAGCACCGCACCCCGAATATCTAGCCCAAGTGTGTATAAGCTGTGACCACATCCGAATTTACCTGAGTGGTGAACCAGGGGGAGGCCACCACTCCTTAGGATTAGTCAGAAGAAATTTGGACACTTGAGTTATAAAAAAAAATGAATAAAGAATAAGTCTTGTTTGGGCTCCATTAAAAATTTAATGTACTTTTAACTTTATTCTTTTCAATGAGACATTCTCCAATAAAATTATATTATACGTAAATTCAAAATTTTTCCTTTTTCTTTAATCACACATTTTTCAAAAGTCATTATTTCAAACTATATTTTTTTTCCTCAAAATCCGATTTTAACGGAACCCAAACAGTGGCTAAGCGCAATCACAAGTAATTTGAATTACTATTTTTAGAGAGAGAGAGAGAGAGAGTGAATGTGAGAGTGTTGTTTGGTGGAATATATTTAGGTCGTACTTGCTGTTGATTAAAATCAGATTTTTAGTAAAATTTGATAAAAGTTGGTAAAATATTTGATTGAAAAATTGTAAATTCCATAAAATATATGGTTAAAACTCATTGTTGACTTTGATTTGAATTAAAATATAGCCTACCAAACAGGGATTATAATATTTGTGCGAAGATTACTTCTTGTCTTGAACTAGTGTAAAATGTATGAAAAATCTGTCTCATAATTTGACTTGAAGGATATATAAACAGCAATAAGATAGGTATAATTTGTTGCAACCTTGAAAATTTGTTTAGTAGAAAATTAAATGCTCATGTCTTAAATTTAGTATTTTCACTGTCTGTGTTATTAAATTTATGCAATCTAGATAAAATTCTGAATTGAATAGATAATTCAAACAAAATACAATAGTCGATAATTTTATTTTATTTTTATCTACCGTCATTATAATGTAGCTTTAGAAACATCAATTTCAAAATTTTAAAGCTTCGCATTTCTCCGGGAAACAATTAGGGAAGTATTTATTCCCAAGCAATTAATAGGACTTGGAGTTCAGATTGATGCCTTATTCCACTCTAAGATAGAATGATACCAATAATAAGACAAATAATTTAACTGTGACATCCCTAGACGATTTCAATGTCTTCTTACAAGCAGAGTGTTCCTGGTACCAAATAAATTAAGTCTCACTTTCAATAAATCTGAGGTGGGCTATGTGAATTCTTTTTCGTCACTCTCAACTAGATTTGTTACTACATAAATATTTTTCTCGTATCCATAAATTTCTTACCTTTCAAAAGTCAACAGACTATCTAATATGTATTTTACCTTGATTGTCAAAATTTCATCTAAAACCTATCTTTTGCTTTGTCACGATAAAAAACTTTCCAGTCTAAATTGATTCCATTTCATAGAAACAATATTATTGATAATACCCTTAAAGGATTATCATGATAAAACTTAAGGGTTCCTCTTCAAGGTTCGCTGCAGAAAGTCAATTGCCAATAGCTGAAAATTTATGTAATACACTTAGTTTGTTCCGAACAACTAAGGAGGCTATTTTAAATATCTTTTAAAGACCTTTTTATTCAAGGATGAAATGAAAAGAAACCTTGATAAGATATAATCTTCTTGAGGGAAAAACATGCATAATCAACGTACAAGTGAAGAAATGCATTAGAAATTAAATAGAAAAATCACTAATATCCTAAATCTTTATCATTTTCATTTAGAATGAAATTAAAAAAACACTTCAGAAAAGGTTATAAAATAGTGAGATAAACAAACTCAGAAAAAGTTTTATAAGGTTCATATTCAAATAATCAAATTCATTTGAAAATCAGAAAATGATGAATGAGCTGCAAGGCCTCGGAGCCAGAATCCGAAATTGAATAAGATCTATTCTACAACTTCTTTAGCTTGTTCAATGATGGTGGAGGATACTTAAACAGAAATTGAATGGTCCAGATTAAGAAGATCACCATTTTGCATGTGATGATGAAAAGATATAGATGTAACTAAAGCTTGTTGTTTGATGTGAGAATCATCAATAAGTTCTCCTTTTCCTAAAGAAGATGCTGTTTTTCTTGATTTTTGATTATCAGAGTTGGATATCCTTGGAGGAAGTTTATCTGAATCTAATGATTCTTTGGACATTTTTCAAACTGCGGGGTAGAAACGTGCAATGAATTTCGTATTCTTGTTTGATGAGAGTCAAATAAACTATGATATGTGTAATAAATATTTATAATGCGTGCTTGTGTATGAGAGAGAGAGAGAGAGAGAGAGAGAGAGAGAGTGTTTTATAACCATTGGTTAGTTTTTTCCAAAAATGACATTACAGAACTAAATTTTGTTATGTTTTTATTTCTTTCAAATTTTCTCCTAAGATGGCTGTTAGGTCATGTTGTGGCTTGAAAAGTCATTATTGGAAATTATAGTATCTTCTCTCACAAAAACTATGAACTTTTCTCGTTTGATGATAATAATTAGTGTAGGAGAGGTTATTAATGTATTCTGTCATTGGGTATTTGTCAGAGTTGAAAATTGGTTAAAAATCACGTACAAATTGGTTTCCAAAAGAGTTTTAATCGAATGAGGAAAATTATCTTCGTGAGTGCATTTTTCTATTTGCACAGTATTCATTTTCTCTTCTAATATCTGATTGAGGTGACCAAAGTACGGTGAAAATCTAGCTCAAAGGGATACAATTTTGTTAGAAATAGAAATTTTTCCGATTCGAACCTTTACTATGCCAAAAAAAATTGGTTTTAATCTTTGACTAAAAGTATGGAAGATATCTTGTGTGATAGAAAATTGATATATGACATTATTCTAATCATATTCCATTCATTTTTTTTACTGTTAATTGACTCCGATTGACCCCTAATAATCTTCAAAGTATCCATTGTGGTTCAAATCAACAGTTGGATATTTGCAATTTGGTCCTCAAACTTTGTACTTTGCCATTTTTCGTTTTCTTTCTTTCAATTCCACTACTGATTATTGAGCTTTACCTAATCAACAACATGTACAATAAGCTCTTGTTTGAGCCACATTCTTTTGATAAGAATGGATTTTTGAATAGTGTATTGATGGAAAATGTGTGTAATATTATTTTATTGAAAAATGTGTGATTGAAATGATGTCAAAATACTGTTTAAAAATGTATTTTTTTCGAAGAATGAAAATCAAACAGGGGCTAAATTAGGCTAGAATTTCTCATGATTTTCCTCTTTGGAACCAATTGTTTGATTTTGTTGAAACTCTCTACCACTTCTTCAGCGGTAGCTTTTGCAAATTTCCTGCAGAGTTCTTTAGAGAATAGGTTCCAATTCGCCCTGAGATGACTTGCAATGAACCCGTCAAACCAGATGTCAGCCTTACCCTTCAAGTACATCTCAGCAATTCCTAACCTAAGTTCTTCAGGAGTTTGGTAAATCTGGAAATACTTCCTAACCTTCCCAAGCTACTCCCTAGGATCTCACACCCCCAAAGTGAGGGAAATCAATCTTAGGCACCTAGTCTTCCCCTTCAGTTCACCTCCAGTGATAAGACTAGCCTCACTACTACTTGTTCCTAGTGTAGAAGTCACATTTGTAGGTCTCAAGTCAGCAGCTATAGATGTGGTGTAGAACAAGAAAATTATGGTGGCAGTATAATCTTTATTTCTACTATATTAATTATAATTTTTTAATTTGTGTGAAAATAAATTTAAGAGGATGTTTGATATTATTTTTATGGAAAAATGAATTTAAAATAATAGATTGATGGAAAAATATGTGTGTGAAATTTTTTTTTTGATTTTATATATAATAGTATCTTAATGAAGAATGTGTGATTAAAAAGAAAGGATTAAAATATAAGGGAGGAAAATTACGAGCCTGTTTGAGCCCGATTTTTTCACCAAAAAAATTAATTTTTTGACCGTTATTTTACTATTTCAGTCGTCATATTTGACTTCTTCTCTCACAGATAGACCTCACTTTTCTCTTAACGGTCAAAAAATCAATTCTCAAAATCACTCCCAAACATATTCTACACATTTTAATAAAAGTGAGAATCAGAAGGACCTCACCTTGAGAGGGTGAATGAAATATTTAATTACTTATTTATAAAATTAATATTTTTCAGGTTTAAATCTCTGCACTGTAAAGCAAAGCCTAATCGAGCTTCACTTCTTCACATTTTCCATTAATGGCGGCTCTTCTCTCTCTATTCTCTCTATTATTCCACGTCTTCCTTCAGCTATACCCAACTCAAGGTAACATGTTAAAAAATGTGAAAATAAATTACCCTTTAATGTAAATTTACCCTCACTCATTTTTTTAATTAATTAATTATTATTTTTTCTGTGAATTCAGTGTCCGGTAGAAATCTCATCTTTGAAGATGGCTACACCGTCAGCACAGTCCTTGATGGCGACAATGTCAAAGTCAACCCTCACTCGATCCTCCCACAATCGCCGTTTTCTAATCAATTTATAGTCCTTGATTCCGCCGCTAGCACTTTTTACACTGTATCAATCCCAACAACTTCCCAAGGTATTGTAGTTTTAAAAACTGTTATTATATTCTTAATTGGAAATTTAATGATATTTCCAGGTTTATAATCCGGGTTGGTGAATTGTTAGTTTTTTTAGTGTTGTGAGAATATTTACTCGACGGATTTTTAATTTTTGGTAAATCATGTAATGAATTTTATGTTAATCTGATTACTGAAACAAAGAAGAGGTAAGGAAAAGGAAATGGGTAGTTAAAAGTGATTGTTTTTATGGGATTTTTGCTTGATCAAAGTATGATGAGATTCCTGTTCTGTTATAGTACTAGTTCTAGTAAGTTTAAAAAGATTTAGCAACATTGAGGGTTTCATCCTTATTCCTTTCTAATTAATATTTCTGGTAGATTTGGTATACTGAACGCCTGATACAAAAAAAGGTGTTGAAAATTGGGCTTTTAAGGTCCTTTTTTGGGATTTTACTCTGTAGGAAGTCTGATAAAGAGGCTTGCGGGAAATGGCCAGTGTGGATACGCAGATGGCGATGTGGGCTCAGCTATGTTTAATAAGCCAAAGAGTTTTGCTGTTGATTACAGAGGAAATGTGTATGTTGCTGACCAGACTAACTTTGCCATCAGGAAGATTACGAAGTCAGGTATATGAAACATTTGCAGGTGCATAAACACTAGGTACTTGCATTTACGAATATGTGTTTATATGCATGAAACATATCATGACTGTGTGCGAAATTGAGGTTTCAATTTTGTTTGTGAGAAATCATGTAAAATGGCTTTAGTGTTGAAGTAATGCCATCCGTTGGTTGAAATCCATCAATGGAAGTGCTTTGGAAGGGAGTGTCGTTCTTGAATTTGGCATTGAATTTCTGGAAGAAATTGCAGCAATGCAGGTATAGATGGTTTATATGTTAGGTTAGAACTCAAAACTTAAATATTAGAGTTGCCAAAAAAAAAAAAAAGGGATTGCTTTATAAATATGTCGAAACATGCAAAGAGTTGTTGATTTGTGACTCAACAGAAGCCATAATCAAACTGCGTTTGGAGTCATTGGCATGCTAGGATTAAATTTTTTATTTTTTGTTTCTGTTATTCAGAAGAAAAAGGAAAAATTATCTTGAAATATTCCAGCAAATTATAGAGAAATAATGCTGTATGGTATTCAGATAGAAGCATGTGAGGACAACAAAGCACGATTATTCTTATCTTGTCTTTCCTTTTCCTTTTTAATTTGTGTTTTATGCAATTAACTATATTTCTACAATCTCCGTTTGTTTGTTCTTGTGATCTTAAATATATTTGTAATACTTAAAAAAAACCTGGTAAAAACCCAAGAATTGATGCCTGTCTCGTCAAAAACTCTGCATTTCACATAAAAATGAGCTGTCAAAGGATATTGATTTAGTGACAGAAGTGTTGATCTATGTACTCAAAAAGATGTTTGTGGTTACTAGATGTGCATCCTAAATTGAGATACGGTCAGCCTCGAAGCACAAGCTTGTTGAGTATGGTATTTTCACCGATAGGAGTATGCCAGTTGCTGCATCTGATTGTTAAAAAGACAATGAGTGTTATTCTATCTTAATTAAATTTATCTTCAACTTTCCCACCTTGTCAGTCATACATATTATCCTCATTAATTTTTTCCTAATGACATGCTTAGGTGTGACGACAATTGCTGGAGGTTATTCTCAGAAAACAGGCCATGCTGATGGACCCGCACTCAATGCTTCGTTCTCAGTTGATTTTGAGCTTGTTTTTGTTCCGGAAAAATGTGCTTTAATGGTTTCTGATCATGGTCATAGACTAATCCGTCAAATAAATCTGAAGGCTGAGGATTGTACGGCACATTCTGGATCCCGTAAGCTATGAATTTTTATTTTTTTTTGAAGAATGTGATTTGAAAAACATTACCCCATCCCATATTTTGATTCAATATGTAGACTCCGTTCGTGCAAGTGTGGAATGATAAATCATGAAGTTATAATTTTTGTGAGTATGACGATGCCAGAAATATAGGCTAATCTTTGCTTTGAAATTGCCTTTCTTTAAGTTTTTACTCATTAATCTTGTTCATCAATAAGACTAACGCACGTTACACATTACATTCAGGTCTTGGAGTGTCCTCTGCTTGGTTTCTAGGTGTTGGACTTTCATGCTTATTTGGCCTAATTGCCGGATTTATTATTCGACCTTATGTTATTCCCCATGTAAGTCTCTTATCCTGATCGTATAACCTCATTATTAGTTGCATATTTCTCTGACAAAATCTTGTAGACAGAGAGGATCCAAGCCTCAGCATCGCCGCTGGACATGGAATCAATGCCTAATGAGTCGGGAGAGGCAAATAGCAATACTCTGCTCCGACATCAGAAGCGTAATTGTTAGCTCAACAGCATATTCACTTTGCACGAGGCTTCGGGGTTTAAGCCTCTCCTCTCTAGCTCTAATATTTAGGCTTAGGACTGTAGAATCTCGAACTTCATGGAAAAAACCAGTATCTTTGATGGATTACGATGTATTAAATAGCCATCAGCTAGATAAAGCACAGACCGTAGATGACCAATTAACGGACTTGATTAGTTTTGATGGAAGCCTGTCAGTGTCAGAAAACGCCAATGAATTCATTGAGCATGAAGCGAAGAGAGAATCTGGTAAAAATAGAAAGATTGATGGTATGATACAAGCAAATATTGAGAGTTTTGTGGAGAAATCGGGGGGAGTTTCATTGGAAAAGTCTTTGGAAAGCAACTTAGGCTTGGTTAAGAGAAGATTCAATACTGGCAATGGCTTTTTCTAAGGCATTTTCTGTTTTCACTGCTACTGGTTGTAAATATTTTGGTTATGCTGTCATCTACTATTGAAACATCCCAACTTTGACAATCATATTTGAAGGAGCATATCATTTTCCCCTTTGCTTATTCTTAGTGACTTCAATCTGCATCATTTTCATTGAAGCCCATGTTGACAAAAATAGCTCAATTGATTGCTATCTATTGCAAGAGTATACTCCATTTTGGTAGCTTGCCCTCTACTTCACTAGTCTTCTCTTTGCAATAGCTTGTCCAATTGAGCCCGATCTCATCTTTTCACCGTGCACCCGTCCACCTAGACTCTGCCTTGTCTTCTCTTCCCGGCGTGGGCTCGTCCTCTGGGCAATGACTGGCTTTGGAATCAGGGAAAGATGGAAAATCTATTATTTCGAATGTCCAATTTCTTCAATTTTTTTTTAAATGTCCTATTCTCTATGGAACTCTTATTCCAAATTTATCAGCAAAGAATATAAATGAACCAAATTGATAGTGATAGCACTATCACTGTGTACAAAGTTCTTAAACATCAAAATCCCACTATGATAGGTTGAAATGCGTGTCTTTGAGATCCAATTCTTCGAAGTTTGATAGGTTTTATCCTCAGACCTAAGTATGTGAAATGGACTAAATCAACCAATCCAATGAGAAATTAAAAAATAGGATGAAGCTATAACACCAATACCCGTAGTGATCATCTACAACCGTGAAAGAATTGTTGAAATTTAATGATTTTAAGAGATGCGATTTAATGATTTTGATGCGTGAATTGGAACAGACCATGTGGATGAGATGACTAGTTGGGACTTTTCAAATGTAAAGGTTGCATATTGAAGAGTAATGATTTTTCAATTTGTGTATGACTATTCAAAGATGTGCATAATGAAAGATCACAAATCTTCTTAAAGAGTACGATTTAAACCGTTGGATTATGTCCCAATCTAAAAATATTTGATCTATTGATATACAGTTATTTAAGACAAAAGACACACCTATTTAGAAAGGACACAATGAATCTATAAATCGAACCCATTTTCCTTCACTCCAAATTCTTCCTCTAATGTTGCCTCAAAATAATTTTCAAATTATTTTCGAGTTTCAATATTCCATATTTTTTGAGTTTAGTATTTGATATCATTTTGATCTAGAAGAGTGCAGTCAAGTTTCAGTTCGTTCAATAAAATTAATATTATGCTCTATTAACTTTAAAAGAGATGTATTTAGGGAGACATACATCGTTTGATCTGTTAGCACTAGTGTAGAGGACGAAACCTGGATTTATAATCGCATACCTCGATTTATTTCACTTTCTTCTAATTTTTACATTTTTCTACGATTCAATAAATCATAAAATTTTATCCGAAATATGGGATTTCAATGAAATATAAATTATGTGCCAATATTTTTCAAACAATCTTAAGACAAATGTTTGTATGTCTGCATGATAAAAATCGGTTGAATTTTATTTAGGTGAAATTTGTTTTTACCTGAATTTGTAGAAGTAAAATTTGATATTTTGGTCATGCATAGTCAGATAGCATGAATGAATTAATTCAGTAATTTATATTCATGTATTGCACATAGATGGTGTAATACGTGACATATGATTGGATCAACATTTCTTCAATCAAAAAAGAAAAAAAAAATAAAAACTCCACCCTATTTTCAATACCTCATCTGTATGCACTAGCGAATCTACATGGGGTCATGTGTGGTCAAGAAACCCACGAAAATTTTGGATGTTTGATTTTTTTTAATCAATGACAGAAATGATAGTTTGATACTCAAAAATTGATATACTAATTAATCAGTTGATTTGTAAAGTTTCAAGCAATTTTATATAATGGATGCAAATGTCAAAAGGACAAAGCTTGCCCTGCTTCACAAGGTGTGTACAAGACACATACATGGGGGTGGGTGGGTGATTTTTTTGACAATATTTTAATCACATGAGACCCACTCCATATGAGTGTTTTCTTGTAAAAATTCTGTAAACCATACTCTTCTACATATGTCAATTTCCATGTAAAAAATAAGTGACTTGCTTAAGCAATTAACTGATTGATTTGCTAATAAGCTTTTTATAATTGTTAGTGCTCACTTAACTATGATATATATCCCCACTAAATTTCTTAATGCCCTAACTTTATTACCAAACTACAAAGCTTAAAGCTTATGGAAAGCATGAAGTTTTCAAAAAATATATATAAAAATAAAAAACAAATAAATAAATAAAATAAAAACGTTAATCATTATGTAAGATGATTATCAATATAGATTAGTCTCTGTAAACGAATTAAACACGGCTAATACCATTAAAAAGAGAAGGACGTGTAGAATTTTTATTATTCTTTCTTCGTAGTTTTTTTATTTTTATCAAACATAACTTAAAGTTAATTTTTCATAAAAATCTAATTATTCTAAAACACAACTTTTAAACATAATAAAATATGCCAGGGACGTGATAAAGGCATAATTGTCCTTAAGGTACTCGCTCGAGCAGCATTCTAGATGTGAAAACTCTAACTCCCATCCTTCAAAAAAATAAATAAATAAATAAATAAATAATAACAATAATTAAAGTATTTAGTCTAATTAAAGCCCAATTCAATTACCCATACACACCAATACCAAGTAGGAAAAAATCGTAACTCTGGTGTATAGTTTACATCAATTCAAAAGTCAAGTATATATTTTAAAAATTCAAAGTTCAAGCATATATATTGTTGCGTGTTGTCACACCTGTCCTACCCACCTGGACCAATGGTCCACTCATCCTAATCCACGTGGCATTCCTGCCGAGGTGGGCATATCCGAAGTGTTTCAAGCCGAGGTCCATCCGCCGAGGCTCCTCGATCCGGTGTACTCTGTCGAAGTCCAACTACCGAGCCCCATGACCCGAAGCATTGAACCTGTTGAATTTAGCTGAGGTCCTCAAGTGGAAGTATTTGTCATATGGTCGAAGTCCCGAAGCTGATGCACGAGCCTCTTAACCACAACGAGCTTCCTCCACAGTCACTTCTCCCAAGAGATCGCCTGTTCAGAGATCTTATTCGAATGACTGATGGAACGTTTGTCACAAGCATAAATGTCAAGTCTTGTCACTAGCATGGAGGACTTGCGCAAGCAATAAGTGCGCCGTAAGCTAGCAAGTCAAGCCCCATACCTAAGAAAAGACGTTTGAACTAAAGAGATGAGGCCACGTGCCACTTCATCCAAGGGCTCCCATTTCATATGTATCACTATAAATACTTCCATTGTGTAATGTCAAAGGCGAATGCAAGAATCAATACTAAAGACTACTTTTACTCAACTCTCTCATTTTACTTGCAATACACAAATCAAATTTCAACACTTTTACATATACATTTACGAGCACCGATTGGTAATTAGTGTATAATCGGATTACGAACAACCCGTCGGATTCCCAACGTTACCGTCCCGCGTCGTTGGGCTACTCCCACGCCCCATTGAACCGCTCGATTTAGACCGCCTACGTGTCCTAGCGTGTTGGACATTCGCCCACGTAAGAGCGGGTGGGACCGGTATCTGTTGGCGCACTTTTTGGGGTCAACAGATTGACGCCGTCTGTGGGAAACCATACCATAACCACGAGCAACCTTGTGGTAGAAGCTTACTGAAAAATATTTGGGCAACCCCCCTTGAAAAAGGATTTGTTCTTGAAAAAGAACAGGAGGAACCCCTATCACTTAGAGAAATCTAAATCTGATAAAAGAAAAATGAGTTCTAACGAAAATATTCCCCCAAGGAGGGTAAGAGAAAGCACGAATGTGCCTCCCCAGCCTGCTGCCCCAGCAGCTCGGACGAGGCTCCACCACCACTAAAGGAGAGGTGGAATGCGTGCGACAGCACGACTATCAAGAGAAATGGCTACCATGGCAGCCAACACGAGGGATATATCCAACCAAAACTTGGCCATGAGGGAGCTCATGGCCCAAATGCAAGGCCAGGGAGGCTTCCCCATTCCTCCATATGCCCTCCACGGGCACTATCAACAAGAGGACGAGGTCCAGAGTCATAGGGCTGCCTCGCCAGACTATGGCCGAGGTGAAAGCCCATTCGAGAGGGAAGTGGGAGTCAACATTTCCTCCAACTATGCATCTGGCCGACCCGCCGAGGTCCAAATGAGCCAGAAAAGCACCTCAATGCTTACAAAACTCACATGAACTTGAGGGGCGGCACCCCAGCCGTGAAGTGCAGAGCATTCCATTTAACCCTCAGTGGAGCGGCTGAAATCTGGTATAGTAGGCTACCACCTGAAAGCATCCAAAGCTGGCCCGAGTTCAAGACTACTTTCTTGAAGAGGTTCGCAGTGAGCAAGGAATGAGAGGCCCCCATCCAGCGTCTCCAAGACATGAGACAGGCACATGACGAGTCCCTAAAAAGCTTTCTATCCCGCTTCACCGACGAGATGACCTACTGCGTACAAGTCACCGACAGAGAAGCACCATCTGCATTGAGAGGAGGCTTGAACATGAACACCCTATTCTGGAGGGATGTGCAGAATCAAGACCCCACCACCTATGATGCCCTACTAGAGATGATGAGAAGGGAGATAATCAATGAAGAATTGATTGAGCATAAGAACAGGGCAAGTAGAGGCCTCCCACCTCCTCAAAGACAGCGAGGTAGGGGTCCGACCTCCCACCTCATGGACTACCAGATGAACCAAGCCGAAAATGAGAACTCCGGCCAAGCTCTGGCCACCACAACTCTGAACGCGGTTCCTACCTTGGCATATGAGGATGTCAACCCAACCGCTAACCCACATCAGATGGAGGCCCAGCAGGGAGCCTGTAGAGGGAAAGGCCGAGGCCGAGGTTTTGCACATAGAAATAGGTCCAATCCGAACCTCCCAGCATACTGCTTGCACCACAGGTCCTACGAGCACGACACCGCGGATTGCTGAGACTATGCACACCGCTCCCGGCAGGAACCCGCCAGAGAAAGACATGACTCGCCCCAGGTAAACAGGCCCCCGTCCAGGCACGACAACCGACATGGGCGTGAGGCGGCCGCTCGTCAAAGGGATGTATCCCCAAGGTGAAGAGAACAAGACACAGAGAGGCTCAGGGAAGGGCGTAGACATCGA